ATAGCTGGGAGGGAGAGGTGGGTTCAAGGATTGGGGGTTGATAATTTTTTGAAGGGCTGAAGGGGTGGTGGGCTGTAGTAGTTTTCTTTTATTTTTAAGAGGTCTCCTTTGCTCAAAGGGGTTACAAAAACGTTCCCTTCTCCTCAAAGGGCTGTTCTTGATTTCACCGACAGTCGTACTCAAAAGTTGTTTTCGCGCGCTCATATGACCTTATGCAGTTGCGAGCGCCGTAAAAGCCTATTCTTCTTCTTCTATCCCGTGGTTGGGGCAACCGTTGGGGCACCACTGCATTGGAAAACCAGCTCTCGCCATCTATTTTGTCCTCTGCTCTCCTCAGATTGTCACCCATCGTCTTTCCTGTCCACTCTGTAATGTTGTCCTCCCATCTCCTGCTCTGCCTTCCTCTCTTTCTCAATACTAAACTTTAAAAAAACAACTAAAAATTGTTTCTATTGTGTTTCCTCCCCCAGAAATGCAGCAGTCTATACACCTGCCTTCCACCTCCATCGCTCCCACCACCGTCACACTACGGAAGAGAAGAAGACCTTACTCCAAGTTCCAGATCGCCGAACTGGAGCGAGAATACGCCAGCTCCACCTACATCTCAAAGTCCAGACGTTGGGAGCTCTCGCAGCTCATCAATCTCTCGGAACGACAAATCAAAATTTGGTTCCAGAATCGACGAATCAAGGCAAAGAAACTGCAGAAGAGGGAGGAGATGAGCATGCCGCATTCACACCAAGGCACGCCCAACCTCGTGTCGGGCACACCCCAGCCCCCACCCCCGTCGCACCTCATCCAATCAGCGATCGCCGTTTCTTGAAAAGGGGCGGAGTTTGTTCTTTTTTAAAATATTATTTTTAGTCATTCAGTCATTATTCATTGGATAAGATCTAGTACTGTTCTAATATTCATCATTCAAAAGAAGTAATTGATACTCATAATTTCTATAATTGTGACATTGCTAGGAACAGCATCATTTGCTGCGAACATTGCTAAGCTGTGTCATGACTTTGCAGTAATTAACTATATTGTGTATTGATTATAATGCGTTTGCATTTTCGCCTGTTCGCTAATGTTATGACTGTGTCCAACTGATCGTTATGAAAGCAGGCAAGATGGTTTAGGGAGAAAACACACTGCCTGAATGTAGTCTGTACTTGATTGTCCTGTCCTTTCGGTGCTATATTTTCCCTTGTGTACTCTTCTCCAAGACTCGCTATGTGTAACTGGTCAGTCTGGGCTCCTTTGCTATCTTATTTATATTCCTCAGACCATGGTAAGCACGGTTTTATCCCACTTTTCACCATTTGAAAGGCATCTTTAAGGACTTAAGGACGAAGCTCTCACTTTTCAACATTCTGAAAGTTCTTTCTAGCTGCGCATCCATCTCCGATGAGTTTACGCCTTCAGGATGCAGAACCGTTCTGAGTTATTGCCAAGCGCTTACGTCAAGTCAATAGAGCTCACTTGGAGACAGCGTAATATGAAATGTATTGAGACAGAAAATCGATTAAAGTGTAACGTTTTCTTGCTCAGATGTGGCTTTTTTTTTTGCTCTCGTAATTCCTTCTTCTTCTTCTTCTTCTTCTTCTTCTTCTTCTTCTTCTTCTTCTTCTTCTTTGTAGTCGTCTGTGCGTTCCCCTGCTTGATCTCAGGGGTAGTCGACTGCTGGTATTCCAACTAGGGCTGGGCAATGAGTCGCTTTAGCAAATCCGGGTACTTGTAGTATGTTAGTCCACCTGATCAGCAAATGGGTTAGAGCCACTTCGAAAAACGGGTTGGCATCGCTTCAACAAATGCGTGCATCCACTTCGGCAAAAGGGTCAGGAAAGGGAGTTCAGAGTCTGAATTCTGATTGATAATTATCCGGTGATCCGGAGAGATTATCTGCATTTTGCCCACCTCGAATTCCAACCTGCAATGCAACACTGATGTTTACGCATGCAAGCGTTTGTTTTTGTTGTTGTTGTTTTTCTAACATGGGCCTAGATCTAGTCTTAATAAAGCGTTAGAAAACCACTATTTTGGCCAGTCTCATGTTTATGCTGACCCACTTTCTCAAGGATCGATGCCTCATGATGTTGAAATAAAACTCACTGCAGTTTCGAGCAAAACGCGTGGCTTTGGTTCACGCGTATAAAGCTTATAATTTTATCGAACATCTCTAGATATATAATCTATATTATTATCAATTATGCAAGGACATTGTGTCTTTCTTGTCTGGGTAAGCCGTGACAGACACCTCAAAGCACCCCATGTCGGAGAAAATCAAAATTGAGTTAATGAGAGCGCAAAACATTTTAAGATGTTTAATGAATTTTTAAAATAACACTTAAACCCTAATGCAAATGGTAGGCTACAGGCGTTTGTGGTGTAATGATCGACCACTCCCATACCTGATTTATTCTGTTTCAAATTGCAAGGGGCAGCGCAGAGAATGGCTTCGTCGCATGTACTGATTTAACCTTGACCTAGATCTGTATGAGATTGGATGGAGTTTCAAACAGAATCTCAACTTATGCTATGAATATTATTGTATGTGAATATGAGTACATGTAATGTTTATGCTTACATGAGTTCAATTAATTGTTCTTCTTTTTTTTCTTTTTTTTTTATTGTTTGCTTTTGTATAAAATACTGGTTTGATGATAAGCTCATAGATCTAGATCTTATCATCATGTATGATTCTACGTGTCTATACGTGACTGCATGCTTTCTTATGAATAAGTACGTCATGTTTGAATCTATGTGTCAGCGTGTTTATGTGTATACATGATAATGTGTGTATGTATGTACCTGCGTGGGGTGTATGCATGTGTAGTGTGTATGAGTGTGTCTATGTGTGTGCATGAGTGCGCGAGTGAATGTTTTACACCTCTGTCTTATCTAAGGCTGGTTATTTAGACAGAACAAAAGACCGAGTGTGGCATTGTGCATAAGAATGACGGGATGAGTTGTGTGGTAGAAATGTTCTGGGTTTTTTTTAAATTTTAGTCAAGCCTTGCGCAGATTAGTTGAAATACAAAGAAAAAGTTTGATAGAAATTTAACGAAAAATATGAGTCAGGAATGAGACTTAACTGTAGGATAAGATGAAGAAATGAGGATGATTAGGGAGTGAGGGTGGAGGGAAAGAGAGATGGAGGGAGGCGAGGGGGGGGGCTAGGGGTGAGGGGCGACAGAATGAAGAGAATAAAAGGGGAATGAGGAAGTGAGTTAGTGAGTACATGTATGACTGTGTGTGCATGTGTGTGTGTGAGTGAGTGAATTAAACAAGGAGTGAGTTAAAGAATGAGTGAGTCAAAGAGTGAGTGAGTGAGTTGGTGAGCTAGCGAGCGAGCGAGTCAGTCAGTCAGTCAGTCGGTGAGTAAGCGATCCGGTAAAGAAGCAAATCAAATTCAAGTGCTTAATTAAGTACAGAAAGCAAGCAAGATACAAAACGATGCAAAATAACCCTCAACTATTCTTTGTATTATAAATTATCTAAGCCAGCTCACCATGTCATTTTACACGTAACATTACCTTCTTGCAATGCAAAATGACGTTGATGTGATTGCATACTGTACATTTTCCGCTTCATTTATTGTTTACTGTCTGTTTGTTTGGGGGTTTTTTTGTGCTGTTTTTTTATATTTGTTTGTTTGTTTGTCTATTTTTGATGACCCGTCATGATGTTCATTGAAACCTACTTCAAGTTATAATAGACTTCTTTTCTCTGGGTATCATTCGTAAGACTGGCATTATCATTATTGTCTTTCTTCTATGTCATCATCATCATCATCATCATCATCATCATCATCATCATCATCATCATCATCATCATCATCATCATCATCATCATCATCGTT